GCGTGGGTTTCCTCCGGGTACTCCAGTTTCCCCCACAGATCACAACATGCCCTATAGGTTATAAGTCGCTTTGGATAAAAGCGTCTGCCAAATAAATAAACATAAACATAAATACTCAGTAGCTCAGACCTGCTGTTAGCTCAGACCATTTAGCTCTGACATGCTGTTAGCTCATACCTGCTGTTAGCTAAATACTCAGTAGCTCAGACCTGCTGTTAGCTCAGATTTAGCTCTGACATGCTGTTAGCTCATACCTGCTGTTAGCGCAGACCTAGTGTTAGCACAGACCTGTTGTTAGCGCAGACCTGCTGTTAGCTAAATACTCAGTAGCTCAGACCTGCTGTTAGCTCAGACCATTTAGCTCTGACATGCTGTTAGCTCATACCTGCTGTTAGCGCAGACCTAGTGTTAGCACAGACCTGTTGTTAGCGCAGACCTGCTGTTAGCACAGACCTGTTGTTAGCTCAGACCAGTTAGCTTTGACATGCTGTTAGCTCAGACATGCTGTTAGCTCAGACCAGTTACCTGCTGTTAGCACAGACCAGTTAGCTTTAACATGCTGTTAGCTCAGACATGCTGTTAGCTCAGACCAGTTACCTGCTGTTAGCTCAGACCAGTTAGCTTTGACATGCTGTTAGCTCAGACATGCTGTTAGCTCAGACCAGTTACCTGCTGTTAGCACAGACCAGTTAGCTCAAACCACCTGTTAGCTCAGACCTGCTATTAGCACAGACCAGTTAGCTCAGACCTGCTGTTAGCACCAATTAGCTCAGACCAGTTTTTAGCTCTGACCTGCTTTAAGCTTGGCTAGGCATTAGCTCAGCCTAGCCTTTAGCCCACTGTATTTCTTTGAAGCAGGTTAGATGAGAATATTTTAGGTTAGAAACATCCATCATAACTGAAATTCACTTATGGGCAAACAGGATCAGTTTCTACCCAGACTTTGTAAACTAGGATTCATTTTTGTTTCTGGAAAACAGTTTAGTTGTCTTTGTTGTTTGCAGCTCATTTATTTTTTCTTGTTTGCTACGCGTGTTTTCGGTGCACGTCGTGTAAAATTGATGATGTATTTTTAATTTGGTTGTGTATCTGCATGTGCTTTTTTTAGCTGCAGGGCTCCAAACTCTCTGAGGCAATGCAGCAAGGCCATAAGCCTCAGCCCTTCAATGAATAGGTTTGGTAAACTCACACTGAATGTACCATTAGCACTGCACAGAGACTTCTGTTCTGGTAATGGTTATTTATACTCTCTGTGGTCTCCATCCGCCACCGTTAGTCAGAGCACAAAAAGGACTGGAAATTTACACACATCTCATCCTCTGGATGAGTTTGGGTTCTTTCTGGATATGTTTTCATCATGGACTTCTAACGGTCATCCTAAGTGTGTGCACGAATGGGGGGGGGGGGGGGGGGGGGGCACTGGCTGGGTGTGTGTCCAGCTCCACTGCAATGTCTGCATTACCATTCATCTCAATTTAGCATTGTTGAAAGTGTGTGTGTGTGTGTGTGTGTGTGTGTGTGTGTGTGTGTGTGTGTGTGTGTGTGTGTGTGTGTGTGTGTGTGTGTGTGTGTGTGTGTGTGTGTGTGCCATCGTCAGATGTATAAATCATTGGTGGAGATTACTGCTGTTTTATTATTCATGATGCGGGCCTTTTATTGCCTGCGATATTTATCTCTTCGATATCTCCCATGACCTGCAAGAGTAAGAGGGATGATGGAGAGAGGAGAAGGAGAGAGAAGGGGAGAAAGAGGGAGGAATGAAGAATTCAACATGATTGGAGGAGGTGGGAGGCAGAGTTGAGCGGTACATAAATACATTTGTTAAGTGGGCGGGTGTGGTTGAGTGTGTGTGTGCTGTACGTGTTATCTTTGCTGCTCCCACCATGAGGCCCGCCATCAGCAGTCCTACGTTGCACTTTCTCCCGTTTGTCTTTTCCTCACATATTGTTCTCGTCTCCGCTCCACGTGCACGTCTCTGGAGACGTTCAACAGCATAACATCTGATTTGATGAATTCAAGCAGACATATTCAGCTTCGCTTCTCCAACCTCCTCAAACCAGCCGACAGCAGCAGACGTTCACCTGAAACATGAAAATTTGATAATAAAAAAAACAAGTGTTCGCATTTCCTACGTCTGCTTTCCTTTCTATTGATTTTACATCGAGACTCATCTGCTGGTGCCAGTTCATACCAGAGAGTTAACCCGGAAAATAATTCAGATAGAGACTAGGAAATGGCAGGAAATCACCCACATTAATGAACGTAAATCATCTAATCAGCCAATCGGAGGGCAGCATTTACTTACCTAGAATCAGGGTCTCCAATCTGCGGCTCTGGGGCCACTAGAGTCTTTCTGACCTTCCACAAAAATGCAGCTTTGAAGGTTTTTTACAACATAATTGGACAAAATTTCCACCAACAACAATAAAAGTAATATTTCATTATTGTTTTTTACACCATTTTCCACAAATCTCACCATCCCATAGGGACAAAAACCCATATTATTCCTGCTTTTTTAACCTGATAATAGTAAGAAAGCAAATTTTATTTCTACAGCTTTAATCACAGACAGAGAATCATAAAGTGCTTCACAGATCAAATATAAAACTAGACATTAAGTCAGAAAATCAGAATGATCGTAAAACAGAAATGCTACAGATGCTTCATCTCAAGAGGCTCTATCCTCCAAAAACATAAGTAAATAAATAGATTTAAATCAGAAAAATAAAGTCATTAATTATAAAATACCACAAAATAAATGAAAGATTAAATAAATTTGAGTTTAAATAAGAAAACTAAAGATTTATGTAATAGCAGCTTTAAATTAAAGGGTCTTCGGCTGTTTTTTAAAAGTGTCCTGACGTTTATATCTGCTCTTTGAAATTTCTCTAGGTTCTGGTGGGTGGACCTGAGGGCTAACCCCAACCCTAACACTAACCTGAGGGCTCGGGTTGGAGCATGAGGCTTTAACAGTTCAGTAGGGAGGAGCGTGACCATGTAGAGCCCTGAAGGTTCTAGTCTGGATTCTAAAATTAAACCACCGGTTATCAGAAACTAATGGTGCTGCCTTTTATTTACAGACGAGGAAAAATATGATTTCTGACAGAATTTATTTTTCAGTGGCCTTATTCTCCTTCAATTTCTCAACGCTTTTTTTTTTACCAAAGGTCCTGCAGCTGCGGCTCTGAGAGGAAAAATGTCTGTAAAGGTTTCAGACTCCTGGTCCAGATGAAGTTTTACCTGA